CCTCCTCCACGCCTCTTGACAGGTCCCTCTCCTCCTCCTCCACGCCTCTTGACAGGTCCCTCTCCTCCACGCCTCTTGACAGGTCCCTCTCCTCCACGCCTCTTGACAGGTCCCTCTCCTCCTCCTCCACTCCTCTTGACAGGTCCCTCTCCTCCTCCTCCACGCCTCTTGACAGGTCCCTCTCCTGCTCCTCCTCCTCCACGCCTCTTGACAGGTCCCTCTCCTCCTCCTCCACGCCTCTTGACAGGTCCCTCTCCTCCTCCTCCACGCCTCTTGACAGGTCCCTCTCCTCCTCCTCCACGCCTCTTGACAGGTCCCTCTCCTCCTCCTCCACGCCTCTTGACAGGTCCCTCTCCTCCTCCTCCACGCCTCTTGACAGGTCCCTCTCCTCCTCCTCCACGCCTCTTGACAGGTCCCTCTCCTCCTCCTCCACGCCTCTTGACAGGTCCCTCTCCTCCTCCTCCACGCCTCTTGACAGGTCCCTCTCCTCCTCCTCCACGCCTCTTGACAGGTCCCTCTCCTCCTCCTCCACGCCTCTTGACAGGTCCCTCTCCTCCTCCTCCACGCCTCTTGACAGGTCCCTTCTCTCGCTCGTCTGTGGCAAGCCTCAAGTCTTATAAAGTCATTACTGTGTCAGCCGGCAAGGCAGGAGTGTGAGGGGTGCGGTTCGCAGCAACACCAGCCACCACAAGAAGAGTGCGAGAGATTCTGTACTTGAGTGTGGAAGGTGTACACGCACCCAGACACGCCTGTACACGCACCCAGACACGCCTGTACACACACCCAGACACGCCTGTACACACACCCAGACACGCCTGTACACACACCCAGACACGCCTGTACACACACCCAGACACGCCTGTACACACACCCAGACACGCCTGTACACACACCCAGACACGCCTGTACACGCACCCAGACACGCCTGTACACGCACCCAGACACGCCTGTACACGCACCCAGACACGCCTGTACACACACCCAGACACGCCTGTACACACACCCAGACACGCCTGTACACACACCCAGACACGCCTGTACACACAACCAGACACGCCTGTACACACACCCAGACACGCCTGTACACACACCCAGACACGCCTGTACACACACCCAGACACGCCTGTACACACACCCAGACACGCCTGTACACACACCCAGACACGCCTGTACACGCACCCAGACACGCCTGTACACGCACCCAGACACGCCTGTATACACACCCAGACACGCCTGTACACGCACCCAGACACGCCTGTACACGCACCCAGACCCGCCTGTACACGCACCCAGACACGCCTGTACACGCACCCAGACACGCCTGTACACGCACCCAGACACGCCTGTACACGCACCCAGACACGCCTGTACACGCACCCAGACACGCCTGTACACGCACCCAGACACGCCTGTACACGCACCCAGACACACTTGTACACACACCCAGACACGCCTGTACACACACCCAGACACGCCTGTACACACACCCAGACACGCCTGTACACGCACCCAGACACGCCTGTACACGCACCCAGACACGCCTGTACACACACCCAGACACGCCTGTACACGCACCCAGACACGCCTGTACACACACCCAGACACGCCTGTACACACACCCAGACACGCCTGTACACGCACCCAGACACGCCTGTACACGCACCCAGACACGCCTGTACACACACCCAGACACGCCTGTACACGCACCCAGACACGCCTGTACACGCACCCAGACACGCCTGTACACGCACCCAGACACGCCTGTACACGCACCCAGACACGCCTGTACACACACCCAGACACGCCTGTACACGCACCCAGACACGCCTGTACACGCACCCAGACACGCCTGTACACGCACCCAGACACGCCTGTACACACACCCAGACACGCCTGTACACACACCCAGACACGCCTGTACACACACACCCAGACACGCCTGTACACGCACCCAGACACGCCTGTATACACACCCAGACACGCCTGTACACGCACCCAGACACGCCTGTACACGCACCCAGACACGCCTGTACACGCACCCAGACACGCCTGTACACGCACCCAGACACGCCTGTACACGCACCCAGACACGCCTGTACACGCACCCAGACACGCCTGTACACGCACCCAGACACGCCTGTACACGCACCCAGACACGCCTGTACACGCACCCAGACACGCCTGTACACGCACCCAGACACGCCTGTACACGCACCCAGACACACTTGTACACACACCCAGACACGCCTGTACACACACCCAGACACGCCTGTACACACACCCAGACACGCCTGTACACGCACCCAGACACGCCTGTACACGCACCCAGACACGCCTGTACACACACCCAGACACGCCTGTACACGCACCCAGACACGCCTGTACACACACCCAGACACGCCTGTACACACACCCAGACACGCCTGTACACGCACCCAGACACGCCTGTACACGCACCCAGACACGCCTGTACACACACCCAGACACGCCTGTACACGCACCCAGACACGCCTGTACACGCACCCAGACACGCCTGTACACGCACCCAGACACGCCTGTACACGCACCCAGACACGCCTGTACACACACCCAGACACGCCTGTACACGCACCCAGACACGCCTGTACACGCACCCAGACACGCCTGTACACGCACCCAGACACGCCTGTACACACACCCAGACACGCCTGTACACGCACCCAGACACGCCTGTACACACACCCAGACACGCCTGTACACACACCCAGACACGCCTGTACACGCACCCAGACACGCCTGTACACACACCCAGACACGCCTGTACACGCACCCAGACACGCCTGTACACACACCCAGACACGCCTGTACACACACCCAGACACGCCTGTACACACACCCAGACACGCCTGTACACACGCCAGCACGCATGGCCGCATGCCCACTCACGCACACCTGCCCACACGCATGCTCGCCTCACCCCGACCACATGAACAAAATCGCGCGCTGACAATGCCCAGATTTGCGCGGGAAATCCAATTTCTGCGCGCGCGGGAACCGAACCTTTGCGGGCGCGGGAACCGAACCTTTGCGGGCACGGGAACCGAACCTTTGCGGGCGCGGGAACCGAACCTTTGCGGGCGCGGGAACCGAACCTTTGCGGGCGCGGGAACCGAACCTTTGCGGGCGCGGGAACCGAACCTTTGCGGGCGCGGGAACCGAACCTTTGCGGGCGCGGGAACCGAACCTTTGCGGGCGCGGGAACCGAACCTTTGCGGGCGCGGGAACCGAACCTTTGCGGGCGCGGGAACCGAACCTTTGCGGGCGCGGGAACCGAACCTTTGCGGGCGCGGGAACCGAACCTTTGCGGGCGCGGGAACCGAACCTTTGCGGGCGCGGGAACCGAACCTTTGCGGGCGCGGGAACCGAACCTTTGCGGGCGCGGGAACCGAACCTTTGCGGGCGCGGGAACCGAACCTTTGCGGGCGCGGGAACCGAACCTTTGCGGGCGCGGGAAATCAAGCTGGCCAGGGTACGACCGCCCACCCTCCTTCCTAGGAACCGGCCGCGCAATGATTCATTCCAAATTTACGGCGAGGTAATTGCCAATAAAGAAAATGGAGCGGGTGCTTCATATCATTTCTCAGGAACTGTTGAAAGGATAAACGCAGGATAAACACAGGGGACAAGCCAATATAGAACTGTCTAGAACAATTTACGAAGGACCAGACTGGTGCATTAATCGCTTTCCGACACCAGTGTTATTAATGGACAGAAAAAGAAAAAGAGGCATGAAGCATGTAATAAAATTAGTTTTTATACCCCCCACCACCACCATCCTTGAAGCCGCCATGTGAACGTAAGGTCCTGAACGAAAAGTGCTTATCTACGTTCGTAATAAAATGACATCACTACCTGGTCTCTACCTGTTGTTGGTTCCAGTGATCAACGTACAGGTAATACGTTAAATTATTATATATATACTTCTAAACGATTTGATGGCTTAGCAGTAAATAGGTACCTGGGAGTTAGACAGCTGTCACGGGCTGCTTCCTTGGGGGGTGGAGGCCTGGTCGAGGACCGGGGACCCTACTCGGTCCTACTCTCCTCTCACCTAATAACTCGCATTTCTAAGGAAACCGACCAATTCGTTAAAATGTAATGTTGTAGTAAAAATGAAAGCACTGAAATATTGACGTTTTCTATGCGATGGCCTCGATAGGTTAGGTGGGTTGCTCGAGTTTGTCCGTTTCTGGAGTTACAAATTGGGAAAACAGACTGGAAAGGGCGAGAGAAAAGATGATTGCAAAGAGGGACTGAGATGTGAGGAGCCTAAGAGCCTTTTACTCGCATGCGGAAGGGTTAGACAGCAAATTTGGAAAGGTTTACAGGCTAGGTGAGTACAGGGAGGAGAGGAAATCGCCTATTAAAGATAATATTCACAAACGAGACAACAAAAATTATAGGGACGAAAACACTTCAACACGCACATAACTGCACCGAAGAATTTGTTCAGAGGGATATAACCAAGAGAGAGAGCTGTGGCTGTAGACGAGTGACAGGCACGACAGAACCCATCAAATATCCCCTTCACTATCTACCCATAATCAACGAATTCAATCCACTTCTCGTACTACCCTTCCCTTATCTCCTCCTGTCCCCCGAATTCACCCCTTAAATCCACCATGAATAATAAAACCGCACCTAATCTAACCTTACCCAAGAGAAATTGGTTCGAATCCTCGTCACGGCCCTTGAGGATTTGTTCATTTTATGCATCACGTTAGTGTGATCTCTGTGTGTTGTGTAACCTCACCCAACTCTCTAAGCCTCTTCGTCCCACTTACCATATACAATCCTCACAATCATAGGTCACGCGTATTGTACCATAAAGATGTTTGGAAATACCAGTAAACAGCCCTTAGCTTCACATCATCTCAATGGCCTTGATATAGATAATAGTGTTTACTCTCCCGACATATTTGGACTTAATTTAGATGTGCAGCCGGTCCTTGTATGTGATGTGTGTACTGTTGTACTCGCATTAACAATCTGTCAATGACACACCTGGTCAAACCACCATCATACTCTAGCCATTCAATGTCGAACATGAACAGCTCAACATAGTCAAAATAGAACACGGAACCTGCTCCCGGACGCAGGTTCGAATCCTCGTCACGGCCCTTGTGGATTTGTTCACGGAACAAGGAATGCAAATTAGATCATTTTACATTCAGAAAAGACCTGGGTAAATACTGGTTAAAGAAAAAGGGGGTTGTTGATTCGTATGGAACAGATTACCGGGTGACATAATAGGCCTCTTATGGGCCAATAGGCCTACTGCAGTTTTTTTACTATTGCAAAGATAACGAAATTTACATATCAACGTGATTCATGTCATTACACAATTGTAATAATTACAGGCTATTATAATATAAAGACACAAATGGTGCTGGTGATGTACAGGTGGGGATATATGGCTTGCCAGGCCAGTGAGGCTGTTTGTGTTAGCAGCTGGCATTCCCAACCGGCTGTTGTGGTAGTATAAAGATCCATGGAGAGGTACAGCTGAAGGAAAACAGAGAAAAAATATTGAATGCGGTGCAAGTTATGACAGCAGGCGGGCTGTCCGCCTTGCTGACAC